GTTGTTGGGTGGGGGGTGGGGGGGGGGTGGGGGGTGAGGTGCACAGAGCATAGTAAAATTACCATTGTCCTCAGATAAGCATTTACTCACTAGACAATTGAGCTCATCTAATTAAGGAGCATTAAACCATCTCCTCTGTTCCCTCTACCTTTGTTAGGCTATTGGCTCAACACTTCTGTTCTGCACAGGCATCACAGAACACCCTGCAACTACCTTCAGAGTGGGCCAGACATCAGCACTAAGGGAATGAATGCGTGAGCAAAGACTTCGGCTGTAGTATGTGCAATCTGCTATGCAAATCAATGCATTTCTCCTTGCTTCCCTTTATTAAGGTTGTTTAACAGTCTCTCAGTTAAGTCGAACTAAATACCAGACTCCTCCCCATCCTGTTCTCACTCTCCATGTCTCTGACCCATCAGCCTGCGGTTGCCCTGGCCAACCCCTCATGTGCTTGCTCAGCCAAAGCTCAGCATTCACCTCCATAGGTGATTAGAACCCAAAATGTGGGATCAAGCCCACCGGGATTTATCAAAGCCTCAACAACTCACAGAAATCAACTTTCTTTTTTAAAGCACACCAGTTTTCTGGGTTTCATCTGCTTCCTGGGTGCAAGTAACAGCAGCGCTTCTTTGTGCTGCTACAACAAATGCTTACAGAGCAGCTAGTACATACGCTCTCTAGGCATAAAGCACAGCCTTACTGCTGATCCTACACAGGACGGATCTGCCGAGGTTTGGGGCATGCTGCAACACGTTACTACATAATATACCTGCAAGTGGTGACACTCGCAACAGGCAAATTCTTGCAAGAAAAACCCACTCAACACAGATTCGCCAAGGCTGCTCCTGGAGTCTCTGCTCACACACCTAGCTTCCATGGCCACTGGAAACCTCTCTCAGAGGCTCAGGACAGCTATAGCTTGTTTCATACCCTGAATACATCTTATTTCTCATTCTCTCAGTGTATATCGCAGAAATTTTGAAGGCAACATTTCTTGCCATTAGCATGTTAACAAGCCCTCCCATCCAGCTTCTGCACATACTCAGAAGTGAACCATTATTGTCCTCAGCTGGAGTCACTCAGCTGGTGAGGAGTACATCAGGGGCCAGAGCCCACAAAAGAGGCTGTGGACGACTGTCAGCTGTTTTATCAGCCCGACACGGGATGCAGGGAGGCAGTAAGCACTGCACTCAGCTTCCTTTGCCTGTGCACAAGAGCTTGTAGAAACCATACCACTGCAGTTCACAGAAAGGTTTTCCTCGTAGGAGAGGGCACTGCTCACTCAGCTACCTCTGATGATTGGCCCAGGTCTGTCTCACTAACAAGCATCTCAGATGCTTGCAAGGAGCCCTGCAACTCCACCTTTCCATGCAGGGCGCACTAATGCTGCGCCAAAAGCAGTCTGAATCCTTGCATTTAAATCAGCGACCAAGGTAACACATGTCTCCGTCCTCAGCAATGCTCCTGTTGGTCAGAAATCACACAATGCCAGGGAGCCTCTCCCCTGCACCCAGGCAGCGCACGAAGGCACAGAGATAACTGTCCCCTCAAAGGCCACGGGTGGGGGCTGGCTCACCCACAGCCCCTCATCTTCCTAGGCCTCTTTCTCCCTCCCCTGCCAGCAGCTCCTACACCCCTACAAGAGAGCTCTCGCCCCTCATTCAAACAGAGGACAAACTGCTTCTGAGGGCTGCCCAGGTCCAGCAGTCACCTGGCTCATGTACAGTCCTCAGCTCAGGAGCAACAGGGCAGTATTTGCACGCTCCAGGATCATCTTTCAAAGGAATTTTGGCCTTTTCCACCCACTAGAAAGAAAGAAAGAAAGACAGGGGAGCTTAATCCTAACTAGAGTGACCACAAAATGTGTTCACTGAAAAAGTTATTTTTGTTCTATAAAGAAGCAACAAAAATTCAGGATATCACCAACAGGCTGATCTAGCCTCAGCAATGCCAGAGAGCTCTGCTCTCCCTCAAACTCCTCTCACACCCCAGGGATAATGCCGATGCCTGCCAGCCTTGCGTGCTGAGCTGACCCTGCGAGGCCTAGCGGGGCAGAAACAATGCTGGGCTCCCACAGGCACACTGAACTAGCACAAAGATTTTATTGAACGAGGCACTAAAAATTGCTTCACCAGCCACACTCGTCATCCATGAAAGTTATCACAGGCGGCCTGAGAGAGCACGCTCACAAACACCACAGACTCAGGGACGCTGGAGGTTATCGGTGCAGCTTCAGCAGCCCAGAGGATGAGACGCCAGCAAGAGTCACTGGAAGGCCCAGCAGCACAAACGGCTCCTCTAACACCTCAGATGAGTCTCCCATCCGCACGTGGAAGGGGAAGCACCACACATGCCAGCAAACCGCGTGAGGAATACACGGGAGAAAGGTCAAACACCAGGAGCGAGCTCTGGCGCAAACACTTCTGACACCAGCTAGACAGCCAGCATTTGTGGCGATATGGGACTTCAGCAGATACCTGGGTCCAGAGTAGCCCTGGGCATTACACGCTCGCTTTCTCAATAGGCAAACCCACCCGGCTGCGGTCAGGCCCTGCAGACCACCGCCCCTCCAGTCCCCCACGCCGGCGACTCACTCACCGAAGTACTCCTTCTTCATGTGCATCTCCAGCTCCTTCTCCAGCTCCAGCGTCAGCGCCTCCAGCCGCCTCTCCGCCTGGCTGGGGCCGCTCTCCCGGCACGGCGTCACCTGGTAGGGGAGCTTGAATTTGGGAGCCGAAGCGGAGCCTTTGGTCGGGCTGTAGGCGTAGGGGGGCGCCTCGGGGACGGCGGCCGGGTGCTGCTGGTCGTGCCGCGGCGGGGACTGGGCATGGATCTTGTGGTAGACATCCCCCAGCTCGGGCACGGCGCCGTCCTCCTGCAGGCC